CTCCGCGGCGGCGCGACGGCGAAACGCGCGCCGTCGGCGCCGTCGTCGGCGGACGAGGCGGACCCGCCGCCGGCCCCGGCCGACGCCGCGGCGCCCGAGGTCGCGGCGCCCGAGGTCGCGGCGTCCGAGGCCGACGACGCACCGGAGGCGCGCCGCGCGGGCGAGGGCGACGACGCGTCGGCGGCGGTCCTCGTCAACGCGCTGGCGGAGCAGTGCTGCTCGCCCCACTGGGACCTGCGCCGCGACGGCGTCGTCGCGCTCCGGTCCGCGCTCGCGAGCCCCCGCGTCGCGGCGTCGAGCGGCGACGGCGTCGCGTGGCGGAGCTTGGCGGAGGCGACGCACGACGCGCACCACAAGGTCAATCTGGCGGCCCTGGAGGCGCTGGCGGCGACGCTCCGGGGCTGCTCCGACGCCGTCGCGGGCGAGGCGTTCTCCGCGCGGGTCCTCGACCCGGGTCAATTCGACGGCGCGGCGACGGTGCTCGGCTGCGCCGCCGTCGGCGCGGCGAAGCGCCTCGTGGACCCGCGCCAGCCGACGCGCCACGCCGCGGGCCAGGCGCTCCACGAGCTCCGGCGGACCTTCGCGCCCGCGGTGCTGCTCGAGGGCGTGGCGCCCGCGCTCGACCGCTGCCGGCCCCTCAAGGCGCGCGCGGCGCTCCACGAGTTCGCCGCGGCCGTCGCGCGCGTCGACGGCGACGCGGGCCGGCGGGGCTTCTTCGACGACGCCGCGCGCCTCGGCGACGTCGTGCTGCGGGTCGCGCGGACGCTCGACCAGACGCTCGACCGGGGCCCCGGCGACGACGGCGCGGCCGCGGCCTTCGCCGCGGCCGCGCGCCTCGCCGTCGCCGTGCGGCGCTGCGACGCCGAGGCCTTTTCGGACCGCTGCGCGGCGCTCGCCGCCGAGCACCGCCGCGCGGTCGGCGACGCGCTCCGCGACCTCGCTCCGGGCTTCGACGCGCAGCTCAAAGACGCGCGGCGGCGCCACGTCGCGCGGCGCGCGGCGCCCGCGGAGGTCCTCGCGGACGCGCCGCCGCCGCCGCCGCCC